CTACAAATGTCCAGTTTTAGGGTTTTACACAGAATTAAACCAAACAACATGAATCAAACATGCACTTTATTTATTTCCACTAAACAACAAAAGTACATCAAAATGATTGAAGCTAAGGGCATACAAAACTGTCTAACACGCTCCTCACGTTGAGGTCACTTCGACCAATACTGACGAGGTACCACAAGTCGGCAAGTCCTCGAGGAGGAGTGACCTCTCTCAAGGACTTTTCGACATGACTGAGTCCAAGTGGCGACTTGGGAGATGTTCTCGCCGACCTCCTCTAAATGCATCCTGTCACTCTTGGGTCTGTCGAAAGTTAGCTCCCGCACCAAATGTTATGGAGGAAACCGAATAAGGCACAAAGCCTGGTTTACGTGCACCACTACCTCTAAGGACTTCGGACCGGTCAAATACGTCTTCCTAGAGATTTCGGACGCGGTGCATGAAGCCCATGTCAAAGAATGCCTATATAAGGGTCTCACCTCCAACCTCAAAAGGTATGTGCCATTCATCTCTCAAAAACACTAGCTCTCGCTCTTTAGCTCTCCAAAATCTCCAGCTCACTGATTTAATCATTGGAGTGCCCACCCCGGGTAAAGTAGTCCGGGCACTCTGATACTGTCTTTTTGCAAGATGCCCTAGTGAACTATATAGCTCGTCATTATTCAGCTAGGCATCCGAGTCACTTGCCAGTAGGGAGCTGCCAAATTTCACATCATCACTAATATTTTTAAATTAAGGTAATTTGGTTTACAATAAATAAGTAAATAACAATATGTTGATTAATTACAAAAATAAAAAATTTTATATACAAAATTGACTTAATTTACATTTGTAATTTTTAAAACGTTAAATATGTTAATATTTTTTTGGGTAGTTTACAAGATTAAAAAGAATAAATGAAGTTGAGAAAGTTTAGATGATGAGGACCTTGGTTTTTTTTGGTTTCATGGGTCTACACAACATGGGGGTATCCCATCCCCAACCCTAGATTTGATGCCAAGTAGGCATGCAAGTTGGACAGGTTGGGCAGGGTTTGTTGGGCCTAAGCCCAAGCCCAAGGTCAAGCACAATCTTTCCAACCCAAGCCCAACCCACATTGTAATTTGATACATTCGGGTTGGGCTCGGGCCTAGGCCGGATTGGGATTGGTCAATAAACTTGCTTTATAATTATACATGTATGTATGCATTCATACAAGTGTGTAGACATATATGCATGTAAATATGTTTACGAATATATGTATGCGTGAACGTGTATAGCCAGACTTGGGATTGAGTTGGAACAAGGTTGAGCTGGGTTTGGACTACCTAAGGGCTAGGCCTGGGCCCGAACTGAAAAATAAAAAAGCCTAAATTTTTGGGCCCGATTCCAATCCAAAGACATAAAACCCAAGCCCAGCCCGTGTTTAAAACTTCGGGCTGGATCAATTTAGACTTGGATTGAACCCGCCAAGTTGCACCCCTAATCCCAAGTTTCTGTTAGAATGAGTCAGAGATCCCACCAACTGAGCCACTATTAGATGGTCGATCTTACATTGTTTGAAAATATGGGTGCATTTATTGAATGACTGAAATTACTTGAAAACTAGCATATTGCTTGATTGCCAATATATGGCCAAAATTGATCCTTTCCTCTTAAAGAAACCACTTTAGCAACCTATATTTTTGGGTTGATTTAGTGCATCATAGACTATAGTCACTATATTAATTGGAATCTTTGAGTATTGTTCCACATGTTGAGATTAATTCCCTGATTTTAAGATATCACTTTAACATCCCAGATCTTTGGGTTAATTTGGTATATAATTTGAGTGGCTATATATGATGGTGTCAAATAAATAAATAAATATATATATATATATATATATATATATATATATATATATATGATTAATTGTCTGAGCTTAAGAGGCTACTATAGTTAGGATCGTAGGTTTATTTACTACATTACTTGACTCACGTTTTTTTTTTCTTCAGGCTCAGTTTGGAAGGAGTATAAATACAAATATGTAGAGTGGAAGACCTTATATTTTGTATGTATTTGTACTGTACATATTTGTATTTGTACTCTTTCCAAACTGAGCCTTAAGAAATTTTGGTGCATATTTGAATGACCAAGGTTAATAGGAACTAGTGGTACCAATAGACCGGTTTTGAGTTAGATCCATTCAAATCAAAAGCAATTTAGACAGATTAGGCAGACCAATAAGACATATTGAATTGGACCAGTTCAGAACTGATGGCCCAAAGTATTTATTAGATTAGATTAGATTGGATTGGACTTGGTTCATCTGTAATGAATTTATATTGGATCAGATTGTAGTGGACCAAATCCGGTCCAATTAACACCCCTAAATATTTTTTTTGGTACCCAAAATATTAGGAACCTTGGTGCATTACTCTGATAGCCAAGATTGATTCATTGATATTGTGAGGTCACTTTCGATAGCCTAGAATTTTGGGTTGAATTGGTACGTTATGACCTAGGTTAATTCAATTTTTTTACATAATTTGGACAATTGAGAACGTATTAAACTTGAGAGATCTTTTGGATGGCCTAGATCTCTAGCTATTTTTATTTTTGATACATTATTTATATGGCTTGGATCTTTTTAAAAAAATGGGTGATTTGGTACATCATTTGTCTTGGATCGTTTTAGAAAATCTACAGACGGGCTATTCAGACAAGCTTCAATTTAAACTGTTCTGACCTACAGCGAGGACTTTAACTCAACCAAAACCCAGATTAAAGAAATAAAAAATTAGGTCAAATTACACAATGCCACGTAGGAAATATTTTGAATTCATCACTGGGACCTTAAAGAAAGCCGAATAAAACCGAATCAGGTTAAAAAAAATAGTGTAAAACACAAAGATACATATCCAGCTTGAGACCCTTTCTTACTATAAAAAAGTCCAACTTGATCTGCGTTGCAAGGGTGTTGATTATATGGTCTAGCCCACCAAACTCCATCAAACTAAATCAAAATTGACAATTTCTTCTGATCTGGTCTTACAAAGTTTTGGTTAGAGAATTCCTTGAACCGTAACTTTCTAGTTTGGTCTACTTTTCTAAATTTTAGAAATCAAACAAACCCATAAACTGTATTAAACCAAATTATTATATTTATTAATGTATATAATACAATTCATATTTTAAACATACATATGTACGAATATGTTCATTTAAAGTTTGTTTCCATTTTTAACTCATAATTTTATGTCCAAGGAGATGTTTATGTTTGAGAAAGTGTGAATAAGTGGCACTTGTTAATATTTAAATTATATTTATTATTTATATAAGTATACATATTATTTAGACTTTATAATTGAAGTCAACATCTCCCGTACTTGTGTCTTGTTAATTACAGAGAAATGTTCCCAATACACAATGGGATGTGCAGGTGCCTGTGAGGAGCAAATCCAGATTCTTCTAATGCTCAATAAAATGACCCAAAGTATATTAAAAACCATACCGAATTGTTCTATAATAATAATTTGGTCTGATTTGGTTTCTATACTAAAAATGGTTTGATTTAGTCACCGAAATTTAGTGGTTTGACTTAAGATCTCCAAGCTAAAGCTGAACCAAACGGGACTATGAACACCCTCATTTGCAAATAAATAATCTTTTTCTTAATAGTATTGCAAGTATAATTTTCAACGAGGCTGGCATATTCATACCCGAAATGAGCAGCTTATAACATAATAAGTAGCCCGAACAATTTATAGGAAACAATTTATCAAAAAACCGCATTGCAATTCCCAAAACCATATATTCATTAACAATGAGACACACACATTAGGAAAAGACCAAGGTCCCACAAGCATTGCAAACTCCATCCACACTCTAGTTTAGGTACATAAACTCAGAAGTTTCACGTAGGAATATCTTTTCCTCCCAAGACAACCTTCTATATACAGGGAAGGCTACCAAACAAGTGAATCCTGCAACCAGTTGTAAAACAGCCAGAAATAAACAAAATAAAGTCAGGTATTATGAACAGTTTGATACTGCGCATCATAATATGAACGAAATAGAAAGACACGATTTTTCATGGGCCATAGGGAAATTGTAACTTCAGACCAATGAGAGTAGGAACTTTTCTTTGGCCCAGTTCATTTTTGGGATTTTGAAGAGGGGAAAATTGGTCAATAGGATTGTGGTTGCTATTAACCAACTTACCCATGTTCTTATTTCAGAAACATGAGACTCATGGCAAAATTGATTTTCCCATGTATTTACCCCAGTAAGTGATACCCTTTTCAGACTTGGTAAATTGAGTTTCCCAAGTAGAGGGTAAATGAGAAAAAATAAAATGGTAAAAAATGCGTCCACAAGATACATTTACCTGGATTAATTAAACAAAAAAGAACATGGGTAATTGCACTTACTTAGGAAAGTAGGTTCTTGAAAAACAAACAAGGCCTTAGACATCATTTTAACAGAATACCAATGGGCAGCCAAGAGGCTCCCGCCAATACAGGATCTAAGGAGGGCCAGATATACAGTAGACCATTTTAAAACGAGATATTTAAGGACTTACAGTAGGGAGCAATCTTCCATCGTTGGTTATCTCCTTTCTTCCACTCCCAAAGCACGGCAATAGTACCATCATGAACTCCTCCATGGTTCTTATCTCCATGAAATGCATCCAAATTCAAGCGAATGTTATTTACCATTCTTATGCACCTGAAACCATCACCCAAGTCTTTGCTCTCTGTCCACAGGATTGACTGATCGAGAACATCTGGATTGTAAGGTACTAGCTGAACCTGGAAGAGTTTTTATACACAAGGCATTAAATTTAATTAGTATTGAAATAAGATAGATGAGGAACTAGGTCCACTTCTGTTTTAAGAATATTTTTACCACAAGAAATTAAATTTAATTAGTATTGACTGAGCTCAGCTCCCCACCCTCCAAGAAGGTGCCATGTGTTCACTTCCTGACCTGACAAACTATTGTTCATGCAGGAGGAGAAATTCTTGATAATTTGAATTGGAGAAATGAAAATGGTTGATCTAGAAAATTCCGATTTAGGACAGGAGGAGAAATTCTTGCTAGGATAAATATGATGGACAAAGAAGGGAAACTAAGGAGCTAAATTAGGGGGGGGGGGGGGTTAAGATCTGAGATAAAGAAGAAAATGAGAAGAAAGATAGCACCCTTTTTATGATAAATAAGAAAGATGGCACCTTTTGGGATAAAGAGATAGTGAGAAAAAAAGAATATCGCAGTATTATTAGCAGGTGGCTTCATCATTAAATCAATTCTTAGACTTCAATTACAGTGGCTATATTTATCGAATCAGAATAAGGCCTTGGATCTCCCTTTACCTGAGGCAAACTCTAGGGAATCCATCTTGGGCTGAGTTGAGCATTCCATTGGGGGTGGGCCAGATCAGATGTTACAAGCACATGCAAAATTTTAACTTAAAATCGTTTTTGTTCCCATTGGGAGGGGATTATTTTTAAGGGTAAAAGACTTGAAGCATACGCTGAGGTTCTCCTAATTGACTTGGACATACCCTGAGGTTTATAAATAGATTTAAATATACCTTCCTGACATTATGATAGGTGAATTTAACAAGATGATGCTTTTGCCCTTTGTTAAACAGTGTCATCTTCTTCCCTATACCCCACCCCCTGCAAAACCCTACCGCCGCCCCTACGAGAGAGCTTTGGTTACCACATTAGTACAGTGTGAGAGAGAGAGATCTGAAACGCAGGTCCCAGGGCTTAAAGTCTCTCTCTGGTCCTGCCTCTTTTTTCTTCATACAGGATGCTTGCAGCTTCTAGCTGCTGATATTATGACTGAGAGTTGTTTGAGACAGTTAAGCTTTCTCCTAGAAACCAAGCCCTTTGGTATCTAGCTCCACCGCTGAAACTATGACTAAGATCCAAAACGCAGGTCCCAGGGCTCAATGTCTCTCTCTGGTTCTGCCTCTTTTCATCATGCAGGACGCTTGCAGCTTCTAGCTGCTGATATTATGACTTAGAGTTGTTTGATACAGCTAAGCTATTCTCCTAGAAACCAAGCCCTTCAGTATCCAAACCCCACTGCTCATTTACGTTAGTACACACACACATAAACAGATCTGAAACACAGGTCCCAGGGTTCAACATCTCTCTCTGGTTCTACCTTTTTTCTTCCTGCAGAACACTTGCAGCTTCTAGCTGCTGATATTATGATTGAGAGTTAGTTCAGACAGCCAAGCTATTCTCCTAGAAACCAAGCCCTTTGGTATCCAACTCCACTGCTTATCCACATTAGTACAGTAAGAGAGAGAGAGAGGGAGAGAGATCTGAATCGTGGGTCTCAGAGCTCACCGTCTCTCTCTGGTTCTGCCTTTTTTTTTTCTTCCTGCAGGATGCTTGCAGCTTCTAGCTGCTGATATCATGACTAAGAGTTGTTTGAGACAGCTAAGCTATTCTCCTAAACCATCTAGTATCCATCTCCACTGTTCATTCAAAACATCATTGAAGTTCAAGTTGACACAGGTACCAAGTGTTAATAGGTAAAATACGTTTTCTTACATTACACTTTACCTGTTTTCTTTTTATTTCCAACATTCTATTTCCTCTACTCATGATTTCAGTTATTTCTAGGATGTTTTGTTTTTGAGTTCCATAGTCTACATTGGAGCTGGGTAATGTGTTTTTTTTTGTCTTTTTTTTTTTCTTTTTCATTCAAAATAGAGAACTGCAGCACTTAATTCTGCCCTTTGTTAATCACCATTATTAACACATTGTTAGAAAAGTCAGCAATTCACTCCTCTTCTCCATTGTTTTCCTTTTCCATTCTTTTTTCTTCTCTTTCTTCTACAGTTCACTACACACCAATTGAATTGGCGTTGTCAAAATCTTAAAGTATACAATACGATTTACAATTTGAATCATGAATCCCAAGGGTTTCAATTTGAATCCTATGTCTGAATCCTTTTCTACAAAAATATAAAGATTTTTGTTTGAATACTATGATTTGATTCACAAATCTTATGATTTCTATGATTCACTACCATTCAAATTAATTCAATTAAGAATTAGTTCATTACTTTAATATTTGCTTGTTTATATTTAGTTTTTCCAAGGGAGACTTTTTTTAAGTCCTTACTAGAAAATGATTTATTTATTTATGTTATTTATGTAGGTTAAAGAGCTATTGTATGTGGATTTGTTTGACTTTCAAGTCAAACTTGATTATATAATCTTAAGCTTCTATTGTATAAGTGGTGAATTCTATTGTTTTAGGTACATATATGGTATATATAAATTAAAAATAGAGCAAAGTCACTTTCCGATATATATTTGGCCTCTTAATATATCTATATATTTAATTTTTGACAAGTTTGTAAACAATAGAAATAATCTTACATTTTACGATACAATTCACGATTCAATTCGATTCAACTTTCTCTATGATTTACAATACAATCACAGTTTTCAAAACATTTTAAAATTGCACCAGTCCAACTACTCTCCTGTGTTACTCATCCTCGTGCCTCCTTACCACCTCAGTTAGCAACTAACCCCCTTCAACCAACAATTCGAACTGTTTCCTGCAAACTGACTTAGCATCTCCAACATAATCTAGTTGGTATGAAGCTTCTGAAGGAACGCAGAAATTTTTCGCCTCTTATGTTTGCAATCCCAGTTGAAGTTTATATAAAACGACAATACTAATCTGGCTGATTCATCACCGTCATGTTAACCTCATTTCACCTCTGTTCCATCCAATAAGTAGTGCCTTTTCATGCTTTTAGTAGCATATTCTCATCAATCAAAGCCATTTTTTATTCCCTACAGACCCATTATCTTTTTCTTGATAGAAAAACAATGTTAAAGAAGGACAATATGGGGTGTTAAAAATTTTAAATGGGTCACATGTTAACAGTTTTAATGTTTTATTGGAGGGTATGTTTAAGTCCAGTGAGGTCACCCTACAAGGTACATTTAAGTCCATTAAAAAAACTCAGGGTATGTTTAAGTCTTTTACCCTATGGCAATTCTGTTTTTTGAGTAAAGGGTTTCACTATATATCCCTTTCTATCATGTATGGATAGTGATTCCTTGTACATGCTTTTTGAGGATGCCACTCCCTCTTATTAATACAGAAATCATACTAATCAAAAAAAGGACTCTTCTGAAATTCTGAATGCATAATTAATCTACTAAAACTGAAAAGAAAAAAAAAACAAAAGCTACAAATAATGACATGATTGCATCTTTAACTTTTCAAATTTCTAAAGCATCTCTAATAAGACTCTTGAAATTAATTTTATGTTTCAAATTAAAATTATTCTCAAGATACTGATGAGATGAATTAGGAGATAACTAAAAGAAACATAATTTTGTGTGAACACTGCAATAGAACAAAAGAGACGATAACTTTCTTCCATACCAACTAAACAACATACTAGTTGTAAGCCAGTAGGTGAGAAACAGTCTGTAAGCCCTAAAAGTTGGGGTTCTAGATGCGGAGGGTCTCTGTGTGGGCAAGGACCTTAGGGTGGAGGAGGAAAAGAGGAAGGGCGGAAGAGAGGAATCAAGGGCAATAATCTGTTCAAAAGGTTATGTCCTAGCAGAAGACCAAATCCTGTATTTATAGCAAAAAGCTGGCCATGCAAACATGCATAGCTTTAGGGATATTCCTCGACTATTCCCAATTAGCTAGAACAGCAGATCCTAGGTTGCTTCGGTGAGGACATGCATGGAGTGGAGGACCAGGTATTGGCCTGTGACAGTCTTCCTTAACACCACTCTCCCACTCTTGCCACGTGGTACAATCCTGGGGTCAGGGTTTTCCTTGACACCACTCTTCCGCTCTCAAAACGATCTTGACAAAGCCAAGAGAGAGGCAAAGCTGAGGAAGAGGTGGACAAGCAAAGTTGAGGGCCATCAAGTCCAAGGTTTCAGGCTTCGCAAGTTCCATGACAGCAAGGTTGGGTATGGGCGATCTCAGATGGTGGGCGAATGCATTCTTGTTTCTAGGATCGGCTTCATTTGCAAGTCCTAGGATCCTGATCTGTGAGTCTCTATGCGTGTGAGCTTGGGATTCATGGTGCTCATCAAGACACCGCAACAATGTATATATTCGTTATCTTACATTAGCCCCCTACTCAATGACAGAGACTTCTGTTGGTTGAGCAGAAATTAGGTTAGGTGTTTAGTTCAAGGTTCTTGGCTAAGTTACGTTAAGTGATTGGTCTGAGGCTCTCAACTATTAGCTCCAAAAAATCTGAAGAATTTTTTTGGGGGGATTATCCCTTGAAATTCTGAAGGATTTTTCAGAAAGAATTAGCCCCTAAAAATTTCTGAAGGATTTTCAAAAAGGATTAGCCCCAAAATTCTGAAGTATTTTCAGAAATGATTAGCCCCTAGGGAATGACCTGTTGGTGGGGCTTGGGCTTGTGAAGCTGTTCGGAGATGTGTGCATGAGATGTAGGGGTTGATTTTTGTGACATTAGGGGATGTGGGACCAAGTCGTAGTGCTGGGGATGGGGGTGAGAGGCTGCGAGGTCAGGTTATGAAGGCGGGGGTAACTTGACCTATGAGCAATGTTCAGAGAACCGGACCGGGCATAGAACCAGAAAAGGGAGGGTTCACGGGTCATAAGTTCAATTGGGGTCAAACCAGAGGTCAAACAAAGATGACACGGCATATATGAGTGTGTGTGTGTGTGTGTATTACGGGTCACAGAAATACTATATATAATATATTTTACAACCTTTAATATACTTAAATATGGTGGACAGATGGCAAGTTCCTTAATT